GACTGTAGCTTGATATTTAAAAGTGGTAGTAAACCTGGCGTTTATCAGGATTCAATGAATGCTGATAATTTTGAAAGATGATTTGAATATCAGCTTCTACCAAGCTTAGAAGAACCGTCATTAATAATGGACAATGCGTTTTACCATTCAACGTTGCTCGAAAGAGTACCAAATGCAAGTTGGAACAAAGTTTCTCTGATTGATTGGTTAAAAGAAAGGAATATACAGTTTCCAATGCCTAGTATGAAGTTCAAATTGTTAGAAATTGCCAAGAAACATGTACCAGATAAAGTATACAGGTATGTTATGATATGATATAATTTAATAAGATATTAAAAATGCATATTTTACAGATTATAGTTCAGTAACTGAAGGGACCAACCTATCATTAAGTCGGTCCAGGTTTCCGTTGTGGCTCAAGTCTTAGGTCTCGGCGGTCGCTTCCAAGGTCGAAAACTTTTACCAACTCTGCTGCGTCGGAAAGGGCCCAAAATGGACCCTAAAACTGGTTTCCCGCCAATATCTTCCACAATATGCAAATTAGAGAATTTTTGTATAGATAAAAAAGAAAGATCTGATCATTATCTACAAAAATGGTTCCCATCATTTTTGTCGGGAATTCGACAGGTTTCGAGATAACCGCAATCAAAAGTCCCCTCGTTCAGCCCCTGCTTTATTTCTATAGCAATGCTGATTAGCTTGTAAACGGATAGACAAATTGTTTCAGAACTCGGTCAAAAATTGATATTTTTCGATGATTCAAAGTTCATTACAATGGGAAAACCCATAGGTATCGATCCATATGCCTTGAAGCCCGTTATTTCCTGTCAAGAACATTGAAAAAGGGGTCAAAATTGCGTTTTCCCACTATATTGGACCACTTTATAGTAATTCATTCATATTTTTTTTTCTTTTAATAGTTTTTTATCCCATTTTTGTTTTAAATGGGATCTTGAGATGTCTCGAATGATCTCAGAAATTTTTTTTCAGTATCTTCCTGGCGTTTTAAAACAAAATTGATTTGTTTATTTGCATTTTTCATACGTTTTCGGAGTTGTAGAAATCTTTGAAACAAGCAGTAATTAGAAACTCATATTTCATTATATTGTTATTCAATGCACACCATTTTAAAAAAGTACATTCGAAAAGTAGACACTCGGATAACGAATCAGATTAGGACTTGTAAGAAGACAACTCCGCATAATGAACGTTTATTTTATTGTATTCAAAAATGGCTATTATTCTACAATTCTGACGTTACCAGTTTTGTTAAATTTCTCGAAGTTTTCGAGTTTATCGAATAAAACTTATGTGATTTTTTAAACAGATCTAATTTCTTATTGTAGGTTTCATCCGGCAAGTGATCCTTGTTGTCTTATAATAACTAATTTTAGGAATTTATTTACTAATGTTATATTATTTATGATAATAAATATCAATTAAAAATACATTTTGTTTTATTTTGTAATGTTTTGATATTACAATTATGATTAATTTCAAAGACTGTTTCTATTTGGCTGAATACGATCCTGATAACTGTAATCAAAGACATGCCGAAAACATGATATTACGTCATATTTGGTGACGTGCAACTGAAAGGCTATGCAATGTACTATAAGTAAATTTAATAGTTCATTATGATGCTAATAAACAAAGGCCATCCCTGTCACAGAGTTCGGGTCTCCGCCAAGTTCCCCACTTCTTTATTCTTTTTTTAGACATTGGCAGCATTTGCGCAGGTTAAACACCGATGTATGTTAAATCTCTGGTCTCTTTATTTCTGATAAGGATTTTTTTATATAATGTGAAGACGTAAATACATTTTCTTACTTTATACTGATAGCTGGTAGCAGAGCTGGACAGATTACTGCGTTAAGATCCTCATGAGTACTTCACAACGAGTAGCTCTACAAATTACTAATAAGTATCTGAGTATGAGTACTTATAAGAATCCTACTAAAAGCAAATGAGTACTTTTCCAAATTTAAAAGAGTACACGTGAAATAATCGAGTAACGCGTATGAGTAATTTAAATAATTCTAGTTAGAAAGATGGACCTATCGTAATTAGTAATGGTAAGGCAGTAAACTAACAAACAAAATTACTTAGCACTTACAATTGACGTGTACGCCCAACTGTTCCGTAATAAAGGTATTAGGTAGGGGCAGAAGTACATAATATAGAGACTACCTAAAAAAAGAGTCATATATTTTGAAACGCATATAAACGCGATGTTCTTATGTTTTTCGTTCTGAATTATTGGCGTCGATAAGTTATTCGGAATTGCCTTAGGGTTGCGAAGGCGATGGTAGTGAGATTTTTTTTTTTTGGGCTTGGACTTTTGTCATTCAGCCAGTCACTTAATGAATATAAATAATATAATATAAATAATACAATACAAAATAAATGGTAAACAACAATGGCAACAAAAATAACAATCCATCGGAACAAAATCAATCTGTCGCAACAAAATTAATCTATCGTAACAAAACCATCCTATCATGTCAAACAAAATTTAAAAAGACAATACTTTTCAAAGGAAATAGACAAGGACACTCGTTTTTCGTCCAGGGACCCATCAGGACATTTTTTTTTCAAGGCACACTAGAAATAGGCCACGGAGTAGGTAAGGTAATATAACAAAGGTAATTAGGATATACCAAAAACAAAGGTAACAAATCTACTACAATCTTATATCTGCTTTTGACAGAAATTCTATCAAACAATCAAAATTTTCTTTTTTAGATGAAGCCAAAATTGACAATACATTAAACGGAGCAGTTTTATTTACGTTGCACAGTTTTTTATATAATTCATTTGACAGATTCTGATACGTTGTGCATTCAAAGAAAATGTGATCTAAATCACCTATAACTCCACAGTGTTCATAGTTGTCACTAGATATAACATTTATACGAGAAAGATGTTGGGGATAACATGCATGTCCAAATTTAAGTCTAATTATTGTTGTGATAAATCTGCGAGGAATATTAAACTGCTTGTGCCAATATTTTGTGGGTATGGTCGGATGTAACAATGTGTGTCTTGTTGGTTTAGTGAAAGAAAATTCACTACATGAATACGACCACATTAAACGTAGTTTGGTTTTGAGAGTAACAAAGTAATCACCCACGCATAAATTGTAGTCTGGATGTAGATTTCCGAAATTAATACTATCTTTAGCAAGTTTATCGACATGTTCATTTTCTGTTAGGCCTATATGAGCTTTTATCCACAAGAAACGAATTAGTGTACCAGTTAGAGATAACTCTGCGACAAGTTTTTTAATTTTAAAGATATATGGGTTACAATTAACAGTTGGGAGTTTTGTATCTTCCAAGGCCATTAAGACAGATAGAGAATCAGAAACTAGTACTGCACTGTTGTGATTAATCGATTCGACATATAGTAAAGCTTCATATATAGCTACAGCTTCGGCACTAAAAATAGAAAATGCAGAATTCAGGCTGTGTGATTTCTTTATGTTTCTAGATGGATATAATAAGCAAAACCTGTTCCAGTGGAGGTTTTAGAAGCATCAGTATGTATGATTAGGGCGTTTTCCCAATTAGATAGAAATGATCCTAATATATTTGTACTTATGCGTACATCAGAGTCATAATATGGTTGAATGATACGATTTTTATGAGGAAATAGAGGATAGTCAACAAGTTGTGTAGATCAGTGAGATTTTCAAAATTAATAGTTAGTTTTTTTTGGGGGGGGGGGAGGGGGGGTTATAGAATTGTCAGTTGGGAAATTTAACAAAAAATTAGTTAGCAAATATTATACTGAAGTTAAGATAGATATATATTAAAGCTAAAGATTTTATTTCGTAGAGATGAAAATAAAAAAAGAAAGTTTTATTTAAATTGAATAGCAAGAAAGAGAACTTAACAGGAAGGAGAGTTCAACAGAAGAAGTAAAAGGAGAAAGTTGAGGAAAACCGCAAGGATATCTGGCAGAAAAACAGGAAGTATAGAAAGTAAGAAGTTAAAGCAAAAAGCAGAAGTACCGGGAGCAAGATGAAAGGAACAAGAAACGAAACAGAAAATTTGATTATTTTCAAATTCATAATTTATTATTATTTTAAGTATTTTTTTTTTTAATTTTTGTTGGAAGCCAAAGGAGCCAGAACCCTCAAAGCTCTAGGATATTGAAATTATTATTTGACCTTTCCGCGGAGGAACCATTAAAATATATGTGAGCGCGTCGGTACTCGTACCCATTACTCGTCAGCAGGAATAAGAAGTATTGAGTAATCTAAAATGTAAAGTATTCGAGTACCAATTATTGAATACCTTGAGTACTCGAGTTCAATTTTAAATACAATAGTTTACAAGAGGAAAAAATCGTTATTATTAATTTTACGACGTAAAGTTATTCTTTATACAAATAATTATGTTTGTCAAGAAAATACAATTACCATGCAAAAATCTTAGATTACAGGTAATTAATAAATTATTAAAACATGAAAATGTTTGCAAAGAGAAGTACCATTATTATTTATTATTTAAAGCAAAAGATTTATAAGACAAAGTTATTTGAGATTTAATGTAAAATAGAAACCATTTTTTTATTTAGAATTATCCTAGTATATTTGTGCGATATTTTTATATTACAAACAAATTTCGTTTAAAAACTTTTCTATAAATATTACATATCATGTTTTATTAATTTATTACCATTTAATCTTAATTTCTCGACAAGCAAAATTTTTGATAAAGAATGTATTTCGTCGTAAAATTAATAATAGTGAATTTTCCTATCTTGTGAACTCGATCTTTGTATAAATTGCATAATTTGAGTATGATTGTTTAGACAAACATATTTTCATAATTTATTTTATTCGCTATACAAATTTGATATAAAAAATTACATTGGATTTTTATTTCCATCATGAATTAAAAAACACTTTTTGTAGAACAGTCTTTGCCACTAGCAAACTTTCACGCTTACTTTTGAAATTGTTAAATTGTTAGTAAATATATCGTACTTACAGTTGAAAGAGAGACTAGCAATTGTTGCAAAGCTCCAGTTTCGTCGCCTTTTATAGCATCTTCTAAAGAAATATTATACACTGAAACAAAAAGTTTAAATTAAAAATCATATATATTATCAAGTAGATTAAAACATGAAATAATTTCATACGTATGATACGAGGAAGACGGCTTTGAGAGGGAAGTATAAACAAAAGAAATATTTGGCATATCCAGCAAAAAAGTCAAAAGGCTTTAAGTGCCAGTGGAGAATTTACCAGCAGGCTGAGTAGGCTGGACCTCAAAGCTGCAGATTTTAGGGGCAGCAAATTTTGGGACAAATTTTTTTTTATATTCTAGAAATTAAAAAAATCCATATTTATATACCTAATTGCTATTAGGTCCACACAAACAATTCAACATGTAATATGTTTCAGCTTTTAGATACATTTTTCTACAATTTTAGTAGTAGAAGGAGAAACGAGTCACATGGTCGTTGTTGCCGTAATGCAGCGACTGTGTTCAAGAGGCCTCACTTTCTGAGGAACAAATAAACAGTTCGGTGATCCACATGACGGAATTTTAGCTAATCGATCTTTCTTTAGCCAGTCATATTAGACCGTCAGATAGTGACCGATTTAGGTGCCCCATTTTCGCATACAAGCTTCGAAGAGGATTAAAAAGTACATCGATCTTGAGTAAAATGAAAAAAAATTTACGAGTTGCTCTTGGGGATTTTTTAATTCACAAGTGATCCCTTTATTACTGTATGTCCATCATTAAACCATGTTTTATCAAAATAAAATATATGTTTGTACTGATTCCTTGCGTCCCCTATTTTCCTTAAATAATCATGTCTCCACACAATAATTTCGTCTTTCTCTCTTAAAAAGCTGTTTCTGAAACGTTTTTTATAACGAAAATTTAATTTATGTAATATTTTTTGCAAATGAAAATATTATATATTTGGAAGAGTGGGGCTATTTTTTATTTCTAAGTGTAATTTTTTAAGTGTAGGAATTTCATTTCGAAAGAAAAAATATGTACTATTTGCCTTATTAGGTACCTACATTCTTTACTCAAGTTTCAATAAAGGTCTTGTTTCTTCCTGGGGGAATTTTTCGGATGTGAGACTTCTCCAATAACCTTTATCTTCTTTAATAATGTTATACACTGTACGCTTAGATACTCCAGTATAAGTCTCATATTTAGTGGCTATTTTATTCACAGAAAGTGAAAGAGTACTTTCAAAGATTACATTAATTACGATTATTTTTTTTTGTTCTAAAGATAATGCTTCATGTCCATTTGGTCGATTACGCGTACTTGTGCTTACAATATTTTGTAATGAACTTTCCATTTTTATATAACTGTAAAATTATAATACAGAGTGGCCCAAAAGTCTGGAAACGGCCAATTATCTCGTAAATTGCTAGTCCTAATTGTACAAAATTTGGGGTACACCTATTTTGGGATACGGAGATTCCAGATTTGATATTTGCCAGATCATGGAGAAATCTGGTAAATGCACTCTATCATCGATTAGGGTACTGTCAACTCACAAATGAAGCACATTATGAATACTTGATAAAGTAACCATTATGTTAAAAATGGTGTAATGTTTCAATTGTTACGTTTTAATGTAGTTGAAAATAGTTTGTATTAAAAAATTAGGCGTTGCCAGACTTCTGTTTTATTTATTTAAGACCTTCTAGACTACATAAAATCATAAGTATGTAACGGTTGTAACCGTTTTCGTTATTTTGACACCAACATCTCTACACAAATGTCATTTGTCGTTTATGCCTTATGTCATAAGGGCAATTCATTTCGATCTATATCTGTCATCGAGCAAGTTGATTTATTGAATTTTAATTATCTTTCATCTTGGACATCCGATGTACTAATTGTCTTTAATATTTTTAATGACCGTCTGATTTTAAAAAGGTAAGTTTCCTACCGATATTTTGTTAAAAATATGTATTTTGTACAAGAATTTCCAATTAAAATGTCAAATTTGAAACATAACCTCAACACATTGAATGACACAAAAATCACACGTTTTATATAATTTTATCTATTATTTTGTTAGGAAAGAGATAATATGCTTTACTATATTTAAATATGTTAAATAAGATTTTTCGTTTTCATATTTATTTTGGTCTCTGTGAAGCTATTCAAATAATAATATTAAATTGTACATTTAATAGTAAAAAGCATCTTATCTGTTTCCTATAAACTCTTCCTAATCCCTTTCTTGACATTTTTACCTTTTTCCTTGTAGCCTGGCTGTATATAGATGGTTCTGTAGAAGTTTTGTAGAAGTTTTATCGAAAAAGATTGTTTGGAAGAACGTTCAAACTGCATGTGTAGAAGTATTGAAACTTAGAAGTTTAGTTCCAGCTACAGAAATTGTTTCAAGTATATCAAGAGGTTTAGTTCGAGCCCTCCAAAGAAGTTTACGGGATTTAACTTTACCTATAAAGATTTAACAGTTAGTGATATCCAAGCGTATCATACGAATCCCCTTTAAGAAGGCCTCTACAGTCACTCCTAAAATACTACCTGTTATACCACAGATAAGTCTATAATAAATCGTTTAAATTTGAATAAGTAAGTCTCTGTGAATTAGAATTTGTCGCTGCCTTATCTGAAACCTTATTTAATTATAATATCTTAATGGTTAGTGATTTTCTATGTTTTCATTACTAATCGATTGTCAAGTTTAGAAAGTTTTAAATATAGTGGCGCTTAACATTCTTTTTCAAAGTAATACGAGTTGTTTAATAACCTGACCCACTGCCCAAAATCATAAGAGCTTAAAACACTATAAAAATAGATAAAATATCAAGATCATATTACAAGTGTTACATATGGTTGAACTCGTAATGAATAGGAGATTCCAATAATGACTTAATATACAGGGTGATCAATTTGAAAAACCAAAGTGACTAATAATATAAGAGAAACGAAAAATCTGGCAATATTGCAAATATCAAATCTGGAATCTCCGTATCCCAAAATAAGTGCGCCCCAAATTTTGTACAATTAGGACTAGCAATTTACGAGATAATAGGCCGTTTTCAGACTTTTGGGCCACTGTGTATATGATAATACAAAATTCCGAACAAATTTAAATAATTACGATACGGTTATGAATAGATAAAGTCTAACTGAAAAGGTTTATTAAAAATCATGGAAACATGAATAAATATAAACGAAAACTTTTATTACGCCGATCAGATGTATTAAAAATTTAATTTTACCTACTAATAGACATTGAAGGATGAGGTATACATAAAATATCTACCTCTTTAACCTGTACTACATTATGCAAATTACATTACTGCACTAAGTATGATAATAATAATAAGAACCTACAGGGTAAAATCACAGGAGGTAGAGAACAACTATGGGAAAATAAAAATTATCTGAAAAACTACGCGGATCTTTTAAAAGAAAACTCCAAATATAGTTAAAATTTTTGTATTGATAATTGCGGAAAATTAAAAAAAAATATATAAAAATATCGTTCAAGGCGACCTAGGATATGGCTTGTATGTTTTATTACAGTTACTCCTCTCAAACCTACGACACTAGTCCTGAATAAATATCGTAACGAAAGAAAGGGAAACCAGTGACGAAAGAATATAGGGCAATGTTCAATCGATAATATTTTTCCATTGATGCTCTTAGAAAAAACTAGAAAATCAAGTATTTATGTAGTTTTGGGACGCAAAAAATATTTCATATGTTAGCAACGTTGCCAATGTGTGAGTAATTGCTCACATTTGTGAGCAGTTAAAGAAATGTGGAGTAAAAGTGGAACAATTGTGAGCATTTTGTGAACACATTTAATATATTGTTAGAGTCATTAAAAAACAATAATCTTGAAGTTAATTCTTTTAACTTCTAACAATATTGACTCTCTTGATAACTGATACGCATAGAACGGGACCATACAAACGAACTTTTTTCAAATTTTGCCTTGTTCTGATAAAAGTTCATTATTATTATCCCTGGTTGTGAGAACAGATGGTTTTGATTGTATGTTTCAAAAAAGACTACTAAGAAAAATTTTGTTCTGATGCCACGCTCTATTAAAGAAAACTTTATTTTTATGCATGCAAAATTTAAATAAAAGTTTTTAAATAAAAAACGGATAGATTTTGAAGACATTTAAAAGTTTTTGTGAATAAAATGTTAGCATATGTGAGCATTTTTGGATAAATTGGTAAGCAATTTAGTGATTATCCATTGGCAACACTGTATGTTAGTATTGGTCTAACATGAAGGTGTAATTGTTGCGTGTTAAATAGGCACCATCATGTACATATAAATTCGCTTAGGAATATTATCTATAAAGAATATGATACACAATTTTGTTAAATTATACTCGTATAGTAAAATTAATTTATATAAAATTCATTTCTTTATTGAGGAATATTATTTTTAAATAAAAATATTAGCTGTTTAATAATTACAAAATTCATATCTAAATGACTTAAGAGAAAAGTTAGATAAGTAAGTAGGTACTACCAACATTGTGAAAACTTTCTTAATTATTTTGTAATTTAGCAAGTTAATTAAAATATTAAACAAATTTAAAAAATAAACCATTCAAATTGTCTTTAAATATTTAATTTTTAATTAACTACGAACAACTACCAACAAATATAATAATAATAATTATACTCTTCCTAATTCACCCCCTCACGATTGAATTTAAACACCAAAAGCTGAGCTTGTGCGGGGAAAGGGACGGCTATTATTATTATTATTTGCCGTGGTGCTCTGGGGCGACTTAAAGATGATTGATGATGCCATTTGACTAACAGGTGAGGAAAACCTAAAATCCCACCCACCATCATCGAAAACGGTAATGCATGGTGATTTTTTATTTTAATATTCTGGATATCATATCAACAGAAATTAAATTTCTGCTAATATGGCATCCATCAAATCCTATAGAGAACCATGCAAATAAATTCTCATTATCTTTCGTAGGATCTGAAACCGTGTCTCGTTTTACCAAAAAATTGGCTGACGAATGAATGCCACCGTAGTCGATATCAAATCATAGTTAATGTAAATTCGCTAAGATTTTTGCAAAAGTAGTTTGGGTAGAATGGATTAGAACAAAATGTCACTTCAGAATCAGAATTTCAGGACATGAATAAAAAAGAAAGGATTTAATAAATTTCAGACAGTCACAAAGTAAGATTGGGAGATCAATGATAGAAGCAACAATAGGAGAACATAATATATCAGTTTTTAAATATTGGCACCTGTCGAAGTTTTCCATTTCTTTGGGAAAGTTGCATACTCTAATACTATAATATAATAAATTTAATACCAAGAAATTCAATACAAATATACAGGGTGTTTATTAAGTACTTGTACAAACTTTAAATAGTGAATCTTTGACTAATTTTAAGGCAAAAAGTTCATATGAACATGTGTCCTAAACCTCTTAACTTTTGTGCTACAGGTTGGTAGTTTTCAGAAAAAAAATCTATTTTTTCCAATAACTGTGAGACTATTGTAGATATCTTTACGAAATTTGGTACACGTATACTATGCATTAAGATACAATTTTTGAATGAACAAATTTATGTTTTCTACCAGTGGCGTCCATACCTACGGGGTTTGTATTGAATATGTTTGCAGAAAAAAATAGTATGCCACTGCTTCATCTTAAAACAAAAATTATTTTTAAAATCCTCATTTATTTTTAAACAAATTTAATTTCTCGAGTTTTTTAGTTCGATGCATAGTTTACGCTTTAAAAAATAAAATCCGTTTTATTTCAGAGTCAAATTGCTAAAATGTACAATTGTACATACATGCATAGCAAGCCTTGCAAACAACCGAGAGGTTTCCATGGCAGCGGAATCAGTCATGACAGTTTATTTAAAAAAAAGATCAGGGTTTTCGTCATTTAAAAATGTATGTATGTAATAATTTATTGTCTATTATTGTGTTCAAAATGTACGAATATACCAATGCAGAAATGGCAGACATTTATTTCGTCTACGGAATGGCTCACGGTAATGCACAAGCTGCAAAAAGAATGTATCAAGCCCGATTTCCTCAACGGGTGGTTCCACATGTCCAAACTTTCATTAATATTAACGCAAGACTTTGTGAAATTGGCAGCTTTAAAAGAACAATTGATATCCCAGGAAAGCCTGCGACAGTTCGAACAGTTGAAATTGAAGACACTGTGTTAAATAGAATTGAAGAAGACCCGCAAACTAGTACAAGGAAAATTGCTCATGAATTGAATATTTCGCATACAATTGTGTGGAAAATTTTAAAATCTCAACTTTATTCTTATCATATTCAACGTGTACAGGTATTACTACCTAGAGATTTTCCTCTCAGAGTAGATTTCTGCGTTTGGCTGCGAAATAAATTATTAACAACCCCGGATTTCTTAGGCCATGTACTTGTTACAGATGAAACTTTTTTTTCTCGAAACGCCATCATGAACTTCCACAGCAACCATATCTTGTCTGAGGATAATCCCAATGCTATCATAGAAAATAATTTCCAAGATTGTTTTTCTCTAAATATTTGGGTCGGAATTATCGGGGATCACCTTATTGGACCTTGCATTCTTCCACAAAGGCTAAACGGCGAAGAGTACAGAAGATTTTTGGAGCACGAGCTTCCTGAACATTTAGAAGAAATTAATTTGGCTACCAGAAACAGGATGTGGTTCATGCACGATGGCGCACCGGCACACTTTTGTTTGGCTGCACGTCAATTTCTAAACGAGAATTATCCTAATCGTTGGATAGGAAGAGCGGAACCGCAAGCCTGGCCTCCCAGATCACCAGATTTAAATCCTCTGGATTTTTTTCTGTGGGGTCACTTAAAGACACTAGTTTACAAAACATCCGTTCAAAATGAGCAAGATCTAAGAAACAGGATATTTGAATCGTGTGCTATTATTAATCAGACACCAGGTATATTCAAAAGAGTACGTTAATCAATGTTAAGGCGAATTGACGCATGCGTTGCAGTAGGCGGTGGAATTTTCAACAATTGTTGTAAATGTTATTAACTTATTTGTAAAAGTAGTTTAGTCTTAGTCTGTAAATAATCTAAGTTTATCACATAACAATTAGACCAGAGCATACTGGCGCATTCGTTTGCAAAATTGTTTAAATTCGTATTTTTTTTTTAAATATCCGGAAGGCTTGCCTAATTATAAAAGTGTAAGATGACACTCGATATTTGTTGATGTTATTGTTTAAACAACGATAAATTAATTAAGCCAGAAAAAATGCATTTTTTGCAATGAATTAATTTTTTTATATTCTTTAGGATATTTCGAATAAAAAAAGTCCATCATCGTATCTTCAACCCTTTAATTGTTATGAATTTTTTAAAATCCAAAATTGACGAAAATTCTAATTTTCTTGAATTAAATAATATACCTTAAAATTTAAAATGCTATAATTTCAAATTTTTTACCGAATATTCAAACTATAATAAACAAAATTACCTAAATAAATTTTCAAAATTTTGTTTGTTGTAATGTTTTTTTTTACGTTTTAAGCATATGCTTCCTACGCGCCACGATGCCACGAAAAAGATTGTTCACTAGTATTTTCATTAAACAACAAATTAAATCACACAGTCACGTTATCGTTTCGATGAAGAGTTGCATTTTTTAATTTTAAATATGTAACAGGTTTCGGACACTTCACTAACGCCTCGCCATGATCACAAAATAAACACTTTTTGTCATCAGATAATATAATTTTTTTTGAAATTAAAGAGAACGACATTATTATTCAGAAAATTACACGACTGCAAAGTAAACCAGTAGATGTAGAATCGAGCAAGACTGATTAACAACTGAAAAATAATTTTCAAAACGAGCCAAAAATTCTAAGGTAGGGTTGAATTTTCTATTAGGAAGGTTGTAAAAATTGTTTATGAGAGGAAAAAAATAGAAGAAGAGTTAAACGTACAATTTTTTCAAAATACGAAATAAGTCCCTTAACCTATTTGTATTCATAGTGCAAAAGATTGAAAATCATAAAAAAATTTTATATTTATAGTATTTTTTTCCTTATTTTTGTTAAATGGAGAAAGGCTTGGATATTTTTGAAATCAAAAAATTTTATAACCCCAGTAAGCTTACTATGTTCATTGTAACAGGTATAAATTTTTCACGGATCACGACAAGTGCATTTGGCCTTTTTATCGTATTGAAAAAAAAGGTTGAAGAAGATTTTACTTCTCAGGCAGAATCTGACAATAAGTTTTTCATGAATAAAAATAAATTTTAAAAATAAATGTTTCTGCTAACTTTAATAAATAAAAAAGTTATCAAAAGTATCTAAAAAAGTAAAAAAAATCACATGATACAAAACTATTAATCGGCAAATATAACAAAGTATTATGAAAAATGTTAATAATAATTTTTTTAAACTTATTACCTCTGAAAAACAACAAAAAATTGATTCAGCGCGTCATCGGGCTTTCTCTTACCCATCTTATACATTGAGTTGAAAGTGAGATAGAAGTACTTCTCTCTAAAAGTACACGCGCGTAGGAAGCATATTGTTATAACGTAAAAAAAAACATAACAACAAACAAAATTTTAAAAATTTATTTAGGTTATTTTGTTTATTATAGTTTGAATATTCGGTAAAAAATTTAAAATTATAGCATTTTAAATTTTAAGGTATATTATTTAATTCAAGAAAATTAGAATTTTCATCAATTTTGAATTTTAAAAAATTCATAACCATTAAAGGGTTGAAGATACGATAATGGACGTAAAGACTTTTCTTATTTGAAATATCTTAAAGAATATAAAAAAATTAATTCATTGCAAAAAATTTATTTTTTTGCCTTTATTAATTTTTCGTTGTTTAAACAATAACATCAACAAATATCGAGGGTCATCTTACACTTTTATTATTAGGCAAGCCTTCCGGACATTAAAAAAAAAATTACGAATTAAAACAATTTTGCAAACGAATGCGCCCCTATGCCCTGCACTAAATATTGATCAATAAAAGACACATTTTTCACTTGTTCCATGCAGAATACTATGCGTCGGACAAAAACTATGCGTCGGAGAAAAACTCATCAGACCAAATTTACTCAAAACTAAATGAGGATTGCAAAAATATTTGTTATTTTAAGATGAAGCAGTGGCGTACTATTTTTTTCGGAAAAAATATTTAATACGAAACCCGTACGGGTGCCACTGGTAGAAATAATAAAATTATTTATACATTAAAAAATGCATCATAATGCGTAGGAGACGTGTACCAAATTTCGTAAAAATATCTACAATATTCTTACAATTATTAGAAAAAAAATTTTTTTTCTGAAAACTTTACCACCCTGTAGCTCAAAAGTTAAGAGGTTTAGGACATGTGTTCATATGAACGTTTTGCCTTAAAATAAGTCAAAGATTCACCATTTAAAGTTTGTACAAGTACTTAATAAACACCCTGTATATTAAAAATACAAAATTAATCCAGAATAAAAAAATAATATTAGGATGAAATAAAATAAACATTACTGTGTATTTTGGAGAATCAGTGAATTATCACGAAAACGTACCCGTATCATTTAAAATAATATAAAAAACCTGTGACCCAAGATAAAATAAAACAGAACTTACCCTCTTGGTATTTTTCAGCAAGCTGTTTAAGCTCATCATCGTCATGGATAACTAAAATCTCAACCAAAGTGGGATCATCAGTACCCATACCTCTAATGGCCTTGTGCAATTCTTCGGTTTGGTATTCTAAAGGGTCTTTCAATAGAGCCAAAATAACATGTTCAAAGTCACCTCCAAGGTCGATTTTTAAATCATTCACTAAGTCCTGCAAAAGAAATATAGATTTATGTATTTATAAAAGATTGATTAGAATTAAAGTTTGAATATTCCAAGGTTATTTACCTCGCCAAACATTGTCTTGTAGGCTGTTACTATTCGTCTTCGTTGTTCATTGGTTCTTTTGGTTAAAATTTCTATAATAGCATTTTCGTTGGTTCCTAGACCATCCAAAGAATCTCTCAGAATTTGTGCATCTTCTTCTTCTTTGAAGTTAGGCCAGAGAGTAACTGTTGGCTATAAAAAACGTGTATTTAATTCATTGTTAAACGAAATATTAAGGAGCTTTCACCTTCAGATAAAATTCCAGATAACTAACTAATGGATATATTATCAGAGAGTTACTATCTGACGGACAATTAAATTTACGTCTTTTCAAGAGAAATAATCTATCGAGTAGGTATCCGGTAATTTTTAGCGTTCATACGTTTTAACGTTCATATCAATGTATTGATTCGCGCGATATGTCACTCATTTCGTTTTATCACTTTCAAAGAAGTTTATGTATTTTTCTGAAATTACTGATTATTTAAAATTCCATAAAGCAAGCGACAGAAAGAACAGAGCGACTTTCAATAAGCAAGAAGTGCAATTATTATTCAAATTAGGCTTAAAACACAAAGCAGTACTGCAAAATAAAAATAAAAAACTGATTCTGAGGTCTGAGGTCTGAGATCTGAAATACTACAACGTTGTCATACCAATGAATTTTTTTGTAATAAAATTTTGATCTAAAAGGTAAAGTTCAACTTATAGGGTCGGTCTTTTCTCCTTCAGATAAAGTGTCAAGTAATTTTTATCTCCAAGATAACTTAAAAAGTAATCTTTTCACTTTTTGATAGAACTAACCAGCAGATAAACAGACCAATTGTTTATGAAAGATAACTTATCTTATATTATGTGTTTCGTATAATTGTATATTTATTCTCGAAAAAATACTTGGAAAAATAGGCGAAATAGTAAAGAAAAACAGCCTTTACATATATAAAATATAGTGATGCCGCGAGACAAGACGGGACGAGAGAGTGGCCTCTCTCGTCTCCTAGGACGAGAAGACGCTTCTCTCGCTCGAGAGAGCCTTTCTCTCATCTCGTCTTATCTCGTCTCGTTTCGCTCGTGATAAAACAATATCAAATTTAAATTTGAAAAAGACAAAACATGAAAAAACGGTAAAATTTGTAATTCAAGTAATTTGCGCATTAGTACCCAAATTTGGCAATAAGAAACACCTATGTATGTCTGTCCATCTGACACAGTCGTTTTACAATTGAATTTTGAAGTAATAAGTGGCCCAGATTAAGCGTTAACTAAAAATGAAAATACTTTGTCTTGTAAGTCAGTTAGGGAGGTGGGAAGAGGTTAAATTGGAAGTTAGAATTTTTCTAATGCAATCCTGCGATATCAAATGAAAGCATTTTGTAGTATGTTTTCAAAATGCAAGAAGATAGAGACATAAAACAAAAACGATGTGAAATTAGAGAAACATTATGATATTATTGTTATAATGAGATGCACTTTACTTGAGACGTAAAATAGAGGGTGTTACTATCTTTAAATTTTCTAAAGGAAAGTAAAGTAAAGTAATACTCATTTAAAAGATATTTTGATTATATTTACGTCCAAGCAAACAGTTTTTTTTGTTTTTAAAAAAAATTACATTCTTGATAATCCTTGTGTGCCGCAATAATCCTAGAAATGTTAAATAATGTTAGAAGAGAATTTTTTAATAATCTTTTTTTTTGCCAAGAAATTATGAAAAATTTAATACGTCACGTGGTTTTAAAATCACCTTTGATATTCTTAATTTATTTATTTTAGTAAATACAAGAAGCGTTTCCTTAGTAATAAACAGTAATTGTTAATACGAGAGTTATCAAGAATGTAACTTATTAATAAAGGCTTAGAACATGTCTGTATAAGAACAAAGTACCAGCTACAAAAAATTGTCATTTGTGCAGTGTTAAATCCCTCTAACAGTAAAAAATTACTTTAATTTATAAAAGATACTGACATTTACTCTGTACTAGCCAAAATGTTAATTATCCATTGTATACTATTGTAAAAAACAGCAGTAATAAGGTTTTATACGTCCGATAATGATCCTTTGAAGTTGAAATGGTAAATAAAAAAAAATAATTTAGCCTACTTTATGAATTTATTTAATGTAATTTCTGTAAAAACATAAAACCTAAATTTGTTTAGATGAACGTAAAAATATAGAAAATATATTTAAAATGAGGTATCACATGACTCTACTTTTCATTAAAAAATTTAAAGCTAGTAACTCCCTCTATCTTACTTGTCTTAAGTAAAGTGCATCTCGTTATAACAAAAATATATCTCTTGAGTTTTACCTCGTTTTTGTTTTGTCATTATCCTTTTTACTTTCCTATCTGTATACAGATATAAGGAAAGTATAGGAATCATGATTTTTTTCGACCTCGAGTTTTCGACGGATTTTTACGTTTTGAGGTCTCCTGAATCCGTTTTGACTATTTTCGCAATGATGTCTGTGTGTCTGTGTGTGTGTCTGTGTGTCGCATAACTCATGAACCGATACACAGAAAAACACCAAATTTTAAACTTAATCTTTATTCCATTGTACAATGAACTGATTAGTTTTTGGGCAGAGTCGGAATATCTGGGGGGTACTTTATGGGTGGTCATTTTTATATTTTATGGAATATATCTGTTATTTACGTTTGGAGAAGAAAACTCTTCAAATAAAAGTTACTTCTAATATTATTATCTATAATTTTTGTTCTATACAAAATTTTCCTAAAATGGTCCGTATTCGAGAAATTTGACAAAATGAAAAAAAAAATTTTTTTATAAAAATTATTTGTAATATAATTCTCTATAATTTTTATTCTATACATAATTTCTCTAAAATGGACCGTATTCGAGATATTTGAGAAAATGTGTAAATTTCGAATTTTGAAGAAAACTCAAAAACGGATAAAGAAAAAAACATTACATTTTAAATTTAAGTTTTATTTCGGCCTGACGTGAAATGATTAGATTTTGGACAAAGTCGGAACATCTGGGGGGGTACTTTATGGGAGGCCGTTTTTATATTTTATGGAATATGTCTGTTATTTATGTTTGGAGAAGAAAATTGTTCAAATAAAAGTTACTTCTAATATTATCTATAATTTTTGTTTTATGTCAAAATTTCCTGAAATGGTCCGTATTCGAGAAATTTGACAAAATGTATAAAATTCTGATTTTTATGAAAATTGTTGAACTAAAAGTTGTTTGCGATATTGATCCCTATAATTTTTGTTTATATATGATTTTTCTAAAATGGACCGTAATGGAAAAATTGGAGGAAGAGTGCTTTAAATTTTTCAGTATTTTCGTTTTCAATGAATATCTATAGAAAAATGTTTCGAGGTAGATGTATGTGGAAAATGTATATATTTAGTTTATCCTCTAAATATTTATAGAGGTGCTGCAATAGGTTGTACAAAATAACCGGAAAAGCCTATAATAACTAGATAGGAAATTCATGTGTTGGACACATCAGATTTTTTATTTAGAAGTTAAAATAGAGGAGGGTACAATTTTCGTCCTTACTGTATTAAATACATTCGTTTGTATTACCTTTTCCATGACAGTTTTTCGAAAAAACGCTTAAAAATTTTCAACTTACCTTCAAAAGTAACCTCAGAAAAGCAGAATGGATTAAATATAAGAAATGATTGTATAAATTTTAAATAAATGAAATTAGAAATATTTCTTCTTATAAATCACTATTTATAAAATCCTAATTACACAAGTATCATTTGTTACCATTTAATATACATAGAATAGGTGTGTTATAGTTAATTTTTTGACTATCTCGAAATCTAATTTGTTAAAATTTTAAGTTACGATAATCAATTGAAAATTTCAAATAAGCAAAGAGAAAATTGTTCGGCATCACTAATAAAATAGTATATGGCAAATAGTGTAAACTAATGCCATTCGCACTAATAATACACACTTACACAATAAAAAACTACACCTTTGCAAAATTCAATTTATTTAAATAAACAATCTATGTTAATTAGAACACAACAGACCCCAGAATCAGTCTTTTATTTTGAAGTACTGCTTTGTGTTTCAAGCTTCCTCTTTCTTATTGAAAGTTGGTTGATCCTTTCTTAATGGAGTTTTAAATGACAAACATTTTCAGAATAAAAATGTATATTTTTCAAATAGAACACCCTGTATTTTATTTCGTTTTTAGAATGGTTTGATAATACAATATTTAATCCTAGAATTTTTTTAAAAAACATTACTGGGTTGCCAGGTAATTAATTTTTTTATGAAATTGGAGAATGATGCATACTCCAAATTAAATTATCATAATTTAGGTAGGTTAGCAAGGATTTTAAAATTGGTTTGCAAGTATTAAAAGTAATTTTAAAAAACCGACTTTAAAATCGTGTAAATGCCATCACCACATCTTAACCAAATTTATACGGGATCACCCCTGAGGTACCTCTTTCTGACAAAAAACGAATCATAGAAACCGTACAAGGGTGGTAAAGAATTATTGGTACACATACATAAAAAATTAAGAGTTTGAAGATTTTCGCATGAACCCAATTATTAGATTTTGACCAAATTTATATGGGACCACCCCTGAGGTACCCCTTTACTAATAAAAAAAAGTAATCACAGAAATCGAACACCGTGTTAAAGAATTATCGCTAGAAATACATAAAAAAAATATATACAGACGAATTGAGAACCTCCACCTTTTTGAAGTCGGTTAAAAATTAAAAAAGTTCTTTTAAATAAGTGACATAACGTGGACAGAACGAAATAGCGACAAGTGACAGTGACATATCGCATGCATAAATACGTTGACATGAAAGTAGTTACATTAGCACAGAACGTTAAAAAGTATCAGATAAGTACCCTACAGATTATTTCTCTTGAAAAGACGGAAATTTCTCCACAAATAACATATTGTAGTTTATTGGACAAAAAGGTAAAACCATATTTTAAGATATTCAGATCAGTTTAAAGTCTGTTTTTCTTTTTATTAATTCCACTTTCAGAAGTAGATGGTTCTCCATTTCTTTTTAAAACCGTATCCATAATTTGTAATTTATAGTAGACGTAAATAAGTAAACGAAAATACGTAAGTCAAATAAATTAATACCGCATTCGTCACAACGCGTTGTTGGTTTGTGGTGTTGATAACACTTCCTTACGAAAATCAATGGGAAAGGACCGATAAT